TGTCTTTCTGTCTCTCTCGCTCTCTATCCCTCTCACTCTCACTCTCACTCTCACTCTCACTCTTACTCTCCGTTTCGTCAATGGCGGCAAGCAAGGCTTCTCTCATGGTTGCTCTCATAGTTATCAAACTCAAACGTCAGTGTTCATTGTTAATAATTTCTTTTACATACTTTGTTATTTGATATATATTTTCTCATTTTTTTTCTTCACATTTTTGTTTTGTATACGGAGTTCGTGCTTGGAGAAGGCGGCCCAGATGAAGATGGACGATGAAAATCCCTAAGATGCATAAGTTATCCTTTCATTTGATTTGTCTATCTGTCTCTCTCTCTCTCTGTCCCTCTCACTCTCCGTTTCTTCAATGGCGGCAAGAAAGGCTTTTCGTATGGCTGCTTTCAGAGTTATCAAATTCAAATGTCGGTGTTCATTATTAATAATTTCTTTTACATACCTCGTTATTTTATATACATTTTCTCATTTTTTTTCTTTACATTTTTGTTTTGTAGGGAGTTCTTGCTCGGAGAAAACGTCGCAAATGAAGTTAGATACTAAGATGCGTAAGTTAACCTTTCATTTGATATGTCTCTTCTCTCTCTCTGTCACTCTCACTCTCACTCTCCGTTTCGTCGATGGTGGCAAGAAAGGCTTCCCTCATGGCTGCTCTCAGAGTTATCAAACTCAAACGTCGATGTTCATTGTTGATAATTTCTTTTCCATACTTCGTTATTTTACATATATTTTCTCTTTTTTTTCTTCTTCACATTTTTGTTTTGTATAGGGAGTTCTTACTTAGAGAAGTCGGCCCAGATGAAGATGGACGATGAAAACCCTAAGATGCGCAAATTATCCTTTCATTCGATTTGTCTTTCTATCTCTCTCTCCCTCTGTCACTCTCACTTACTCTCACTCACACTATCACTCCCACTCTCACTTTCACTCTCACTCTCACTCTTTGTTTCGTTAATGGTGGCAAGAAAAGATTCTCTCATAGCTGCTCTCAGAGTTATCAAACTCAAACGTCGGTGTTCATTGTTAATAATTTCTTTTACATACTTTGTTATTGTATATATTTTTTCTCATTTTTTTTCTTCACATTTTTTTTTTTTTTTTTTTTTTAACAATGTGAAACCCATTTAGGCTATTATTCATGGGTATAAAACGGATGACCTGCAAATAAGCATGCATTGTGGTTGTAACCAAAAGTTAATGGTGACGAAGAAAATCCTAAGATGCGTAAGTTACCCTTTCATTTGATTTGTCTTTATGTCTCTCTCTATCTCTCTCTCTCTCTCTCTCTCTGTCACTCACTCACTGTCACTGTCACTCTCACTCTCACTCTCCGTTTCGTCAGTGACAACAAGAAAGGCTTCTCTCATGGCTGTTCTCAGAGTTATCGAATTCAAACGTCGGTGTTCCTTGTTAATAATTTCTTTTACATACTTTGTTATTTTATATATATTCTCATTTTTCTTCACATTTTTGTTTTGTATAGGGAGTTCTTGCTTGGAGAAGACGGCCCAGATGAAGATGGATGATGAAAATCCTAAGATGCGTAAGTTAACTTTTCCTTTGATTTTTCTTTTTGTTTCTCTCCCTGTGTCACTCTTACTCACTCTCACTCTCACTCTCTGTTTCGTCAATGGCGGCAAGAAAGGCTTCCCTCATGGCTGCTCTCAGAGTTATCAAAGTCAAACGTCGGTGTTCATTGTTAATAATTTCTTTTACATATTTTGTTATTTTATATATATTTTCTCATTTTCTTCTTCACATTTTTGTTTTGTATAGGGAGTTTTTGTTTGGAGAAGATGGCCCAAATGAAGATGGACGATGAAAACCCTAAGATGCATAAGTTATCATTTCCTTTGATTTGTCTTTTTGTCGCTCTCTCTCTCTGTCACTCTCACTCTCTCTCACTCTCACTCTCACTCTCTGTTTCATCAATGGCGGCAAGAATGGCTTCTCTCATGACTGCTCTCAGAGTTGTCAAACTCTAACTTCGGTGTTCATTGTTAATAATTTCTTTTACATACTTTGTTATTTTATATATAGTTTCTCTTTTTTTTTCCACATTTTTGTTTTGTATAGGGAGTTCTTGCTTGGAGAAGACGGCTCACATGAAGATGGACGATGAAAACACTAAGATGCGTAAGTTATCCTTTCATTTGATTTGTCTTTCTCTCTCTCTCTCTCTCTCTCTCTCTATGTGTGTGTGTCAATCTCACTCACTCTCACTCTCACTCTCACTCTCACTCTCACTCTTCGTTTGGTCAATGGTGGCAAAGGTATTAGATTTTTGTTGGTCTGATCCCATTTTCTGATAAATGTATCTCTTTATCATGCCATAATTTACTTGGTATTGTTTTAAGAACACATCCCCAATATGCTTCTAAGGCATCTGTTTCTGAAATTAATTTATCACCTTTTTAGGAAGATAAACATCTGGTAAAGTTTTATCATTTTCTTAAATTTGTTTAATTAAAGCAACATTCTTTACTATCCATTCCAAATAACATTTTTCCTTAATTTGGTTAACCAAGGAATTTCTATTTTTGAAATGTTTTTGATAAAATTTCATCCATAATTTAAAATACCCATTAAACTCTGTAATTGTGTTATATTTTCAAGAATATCAAGAAAATCTCATATTTTAGACAAAATATGTTCCTGTAATTTTAAACCTTTCTAGTTTAAAATTATTCCTAAAAATTTAATTGATTCTTTTTCTAGTTCAATCTTTTTTGGTGATAACATAATTTCATGTTTTTTGAATTTTTCACAAAATAATTTTAAATGTTTCTTACGCTCTTTCCTAGTTTTAGAAAAGATAAATATATCATCAATATAAACTACACAACAATCCTTAAGAATTTTAAATATTGTATCCATCTACCGTTGAAATACCTGTTGTGCTATATTTAAACCAAAAGGTATAACATTTTAGTGGTAACGTCCTTTGGATGTATTGAAAGCTGTTAATTTTTTTGACTCTTCAGTCAATTAAATTTGTCAAAATCCACTCTTACTAGTGGTGGGCGCGGGTCAGTTGCGGCCACGGAACCTCTAATCCGCCATCCGTCCGCCAGGTTGGCAAATTGGAGAAATCAATCCGCATCTGTCTGCCAATCTGGCAGATGTGAATTGAGTAGATTGGTGGTTTGGCGGATGGATACAAATCGGTTTGGCGGTTTAAAATTTTATAAATTTTCAACAAAATTCAACTTGTGCACTTCCTTAAAATATATATATATATATATATATATATTATAGTCAATGACTTAAAAAAATATTACAATCACAGCATGCCTCATCCAAAGCAAAAAAGTTTAAAACTTTAGAATATCACAATCACTGCAAGTCTCATCCACATACTACAATCACAGCATGCCTCATCTACATAAAGTATTACAATTTGTGGTTCTTAAAATATAAAAATAATTCAAACCACCAAAACCGTGAACAGAGTAGTAGTAGAGATTATATATCTCTGTATTATTACATCTATATCTATTTTTGAAAATAAAAATCAACCAATATATATCATATTTTCTATTTATTATTTTTAGAGATAGATTTAAAAACCAAAAAATATAGATAAATAATACGTCTATTTTTTTCAATTCAAAAAAGATATTCAAGTAGAAAACTTTTTTTCAACAGAATATTTAAACTCTTTTTTAATTGAAAACACAAACAGAATATTTAAACAAACTGAAAACACAAAGTCTTATAAATTACTAGGGGTGTGCTTGCGGTTTGGCGATTCGGTTGCGGTCAAAGAAATCTGAAATCCGCCATCCGTCCGCCAAACTGGCGGATTGGCGGTTTGGCGGATGGATACGAATCGGTTTGACGGTTTAAAATTTTATAAATTTTCAACATAATTCAACTTGTGTATTTCCTTAAAAAAAATATATATATATTATAGTCAATGACTTAAAAAAATATTACAATCACGGCATGCCTCATCTAAAACAAAAAAGTTTGAAACTTTAGAATATCACAATCACTGCAAGTCTCATCCACATACTACAATCACAGCATGCCTCATCTACATAAAGTATTACAATTTGTGGTTCTTAAAATATAAAAATAATTCAAACCACCAAAACCGTGAACAGAGTAGTAGTAGAGATTATATATCTCTGTATTATTACATCTATATCTATTTTTGAAAATAAAAATCAACCAATATATATCATATTTTCTATTTATTATTTTTAGAGATAGATTTAAAAACCAAAAAATATAGATAAATAATACGTCTATTTTTTTCAATTCAAAAAAGATATTCAAGTAGAAAACTTTTTTTCAACAGAATATTTAAACTCTTTTTTAATTGAAAACACAAACAGAATATTTAAACAAACTGAAAATACAAAGTCTTATAAATTACTAGGGGTGCTCGCGGTTTGACGGTTCAGTTGTGGCCAAAGGAATCTCAAATCCACCATCCGTCCGCCAGATTGGCGGATTGGAGAAAATCAATCCGTAACCGTCCGCTCGTCATCACGCATCCGTTCAAAATGCGGCAGATCGGTTCGATTTGGTCGGTTTTGGCGGATCGGTATATCCGCTGCTCACCCTCTTACAATCAAATTTGCTAAAGATTTTTGATCATTTGATTAATTTAATCAAAACATCTTTTCTTGGAATAAAATATCCATCAAATTCTAAATTTTCATTTAACCGTTTATAGTTGACTACCATTCAGGCATTTCCTCTTTTAATTTCAGCATGATTTCCGACTATAAAAGTTGTACTAGAGTGAGGGCTTCTAGTGACGAAAATTGAAATAAAATTTTGCTATGCCCTATATTACATCAAAGGTTCTCACTACCCATTGTAATGAATGCTATCTTAATTTATAACATTTCACAGTTACTCTGTGTCCCGTACAATATACATACTTTCCTTTATCTATGTCCTCAAACATTGATTGGTAGATGGAATGCAGGATCAACTCCTTTATTACTATTAGTAAGTTAGGGCGACAATCAACATTTACAAGCTCTAAAACTTCATATCTAATGGTCATTCGAACAAATAAACAGAGTTCAAGGTCCCTTTGAATTCAAATCATTGTTATTCCTAAAATAAATAAAATTGGGAGACGCTAAGAACTAGACATATCAAAATAGAGATAAAGAGCAGACTGAAACAAACACCTGAACCTACCAAGCCAGCCTAGAACAAAGTGACTAACAAAAACCCCATACACCAAACCGAGTGTCCCTACAAAATGCAATGCCACACAAGCCGGACCATATCTGAGCAAAGAATCATTCAAAGTTTGCTAGAAAGTTCCTTGTTCATAAAAAATCCAATGCCCTGAAATCAGTACTCTTAGTTGTCAACCACACCAACAAACATGACCTATGCAAAATAACCACCCTTGAGACAAACTGTTCTGACATGTAAGATTTACAGTAGGCTTCCCAAATGAGACTCTTGTCATCATTCAAAATTTTTCAGTTCCCCTTGTGTTCAATTAAACACAATCCAAGTTTTCTCTCTAGCAAGGGAAATCCTCCACTGGACTTAAAAGGAATAAAAGAAAAATCATTTACAGGTGATTACTGATGGTTACAGGGAGACGTGGTAGGTCCAGATGCACCTGCACTATGTGGTGGTGTAGCTCCATGGGGAGATTGCTGCTGGCGATGTGGAGATACAGAAGTTCCAGATCCATCTGCACGATGTGCTGGTGTTATGCCTTGAGATTGTTGTTGGGGATGTGGAGATTCAGTGGTTCCAGATGAACTTGCACCATGCAATGGTATAACCTGTTGGCCCTACATCAAAAAATAAAATAAAATATAAAAAAAAGAAAAAAAAAAAGAAAAAAAAAGAGGGATGAACCTTTTTAAGAGATTGAGGTTTGCTTAAAGGTTACCAGTAAAACATAGGGTAAATTACAGACACCCATGAGGTATAGAAAAAAATATATAATAAGTCCCACAAGTTTGACATAATTACATTGACCTCCTTTTTAGCAAGTTTAAAGTGACCAAAACTAATGCAAAGGTGTAGAGACACATGAATAAACAAGGGTCAAACGTACATTTTAGTATAAAATAGATGACACCATTTTCCCATCCATACAACTAATGAATTACTCATGATGAAATATGGGTTATGTGAATTAAAACATTAAGAGAGGTTGATAAAATTATGTCAAAAGTGCAGGGTTGACTGTATTTTCTTCAAGCCTAAAGGGACGTCAGCGTAATTTACCCTAAAACATAATTAACTAAGGATTGATCTCACACCAGAGGTAAGGAACTAAAAAAATAGAAGTTCTAACTTTATAATACCAATTTTCCATTACTATAAAAAGTCACTGCTCACCATTGCCAACTTTCCCTCCTTGACAAGCAAGAAACGCATATTTACACATTCAAAACAAAAATCTGATCAGTTTGATAGCTGTCATTGAGAAGCACACCTCTTGATAGTAGCTCCTGTTCCATGTCGGAATCTGTGTTGAAGTAATCTGTTGCTGGGACGGCTGTCCTTGTTGCTGTTGCAGTTGGTGGTGCTGTTGCAGTTGCTGATATCCTTGTTGCTGTTGCATTGGGTGCTGTTGCTGCAGCTGCATATACTGATGATATAGTTGATCTTGCTGCTGCTGAGCATGCAGAAGCTGCTGCTGCATCAACTGAGCTTGTTGTTCATGCAGCTGAGGACACTGTTGATAGTACAGCTGTGCCAGCTGTTGTTGCTTCTGTACGTAAGCTTCCTGCTGTTGCTGTTGATGGGGTTGCTGCTGAACTTGCTGTTGCAACTGCTGCATAAATTGTTGTTGCTGCTCGTAGTGTTGTTGAACAATCAGCTGCTGCTGTCGGAAATAGTTTTCCATTATCTGATTGTATGCTGCTTCATTATAAGGTGCATGCCCAAACTGCCCACCACTTTGCATAGAGAACTGAGGCACCTGCACTTGATGCCGAGAAGCAGCTAGGGAAGAAGATGGTTGTGATTGGTGTACCGATACAAATCCCTGCTGGTTTTGTGATTGGATGGCTTGCTGAACTTGTGATTGGATTTGTTGCTGTGGAGGAACTTGCCATTGTTGATTCTGTTGCTCTTGTGAATCCCCATGAAACCCAGATCTTGCATCTCCAGAAGCTTGAACTGTGTTGCTGTTGCTTTGATGCCAGTTTACAGCATCATCTGTAGGCACATGAGGCTGTGTCTGTGCTTGTTCTGGTAAAAGATTCTGACGACTAGCCAAAGATGAGGGATTTACTGATTCCTTTTGGATTTGAGCAGAATCAGCAGATCGATTGCTTCCTCGGCTGACTACAGAAGGGCTCCCATTAGCATTCCGACGATTCACTGATATTCTATTGGATATAAGAGCTTGATGCTTGTACGAAGATATGAGTGTTGAATCCCCATATTCCTTCTCCTGAGAATTCAAGGAAAGACTGTCTAAAGAAAGCAGCTTCAGATGCTGTTCAGGCTCATGGCTTTGTTTTTGTTCTTCTTGTTGCTGAACATTGATGGAATCAGAACATTCTTGTGTTGGCACAATTGGTCCTGATGCATCTTCTCCAGGTTGGTGTGCTAAACCATGAGTTGATTCCATCGGTATATTTGCATCTTCTCCAGATTTGTGTCCTAAATTATGAGTTGACTCCACTGGTCCATATGCATCTTCTCTAGACTGATGTACTAAATAAGGAGTTGATTCCATATGTCCAGATGTATCATCTCCAGACTGATGTACTGAATCATGGGTTAATTTATTTACTCCAGATGCATCATCTTCCACGGACTGCTCTGCAATTTTGGGAGATAACTGTTGCAATCTCTCCTGGGCACTGTTGTCTTTGTCTTCTGGTTGAAAATGATCTGTGAGCTCTTGCATTTGGAGCTCGGTATGATTGTCAGAATTATGGCCTCCAGATGGCTGATCAGACAATGGAAAAGGGCTCCTTTGTTTTGCTTCCATAAACATATCCAACAGTTGATTACCTGAAGTGGGGAGTTTATCTAATGAGGAAGTCCTTACCAAATGTGGAAACAATTTAATGTGGCGATTCCATGCCTTTCTTATATCATGCACAGTTCCACATTGGTCAACAAACTGAAGACATCATAGATTAATCATTGTCAGAGACATATATATAGAGAATTTATAATTTCCCCCAATACAAAATAATGAAAAAAGAATAAACAACATAAACTAACAAGAATCTCAGGCACAAAGAAAGGATATTTATAAGAAGAATCTTTGTTCTAATGTACGAAAATGTGTAGATGCACTTTCTATCTCATCACATAAAAGTGAAGGCATGCCGGTATTGGTTGAACCATAGGAAAAGAGAGTGTGAGGGTGATTGGACTAATAATGTTGTACAGCATGTTGTGAGAATCAGAGTGATCATCAAATCAGAAAAAGTTTCTAGTTCAGTCAGTTCTATCAGTCTGAAGATCGAACGGGTTGACTGAAGAATATATTTTACTTAAGTTCTTTTTTTTTTTTTTTTTTGGTCAACAACAAAGGACTTTATTGATGAATCAAAAAAGTAAGCGAGGATGAGGCATCCTCTAACAAAAGAAAAGGAGAAAACACAAAGCAAAACCCTAACAAGATACTCTTAAGCAAAAGCCTACATATCACTCACCGTCAACAAATCTCTAGCTAACAAAAAAAATGGAAACCCTTTAAATAGAGGATTCCCCGAAACCCAAAAAGAAGTTAAGTGGCAAACACTATCCCACAAACAGTCCACCTCCCGGAACTTATCTTCAGACACCCTGGCATTTCTTTCCATCCATAGAACCCAAAAAGTTGCAAAGACCGCACAAGACCATAGCATTGTGGCTCTCTTCGATCCTTCGAAAGCGCGGAAGTCAACTTGGAGCATACGCGCACTCCCTTTTGGGGCTACCCACATAACATTCCCTAATAAAAACAATTTGTGCCATAAATTTAAATCAATTGGGCAATGTAGAAATAAATGATCCACGAATTCTCCATTCTTACAACACAGAATGCACCACTAAGGATTTAGAAAGCGATTAGCTCTCTGTTTCTGCAATGTATCATTTGTCAAAATACCTCCATGAACCAAGGCCCACATGAATACCTTCATCTTTAGAGGAACACAAGTATTCCAAATTCTTTTGCAAAAAGGAAACTGAGGAACATGAGGAGTAACGATGATTTTATCAAAAAAAGACTTACAAGAAAATATCCCAGATGAATGAAGAGCCCAAACCCTCTAGTCCTCCAAAAGAGGAGCCAAAGAAAAATTGTCGATTCTAGACAACAAAGATGGTAACTGTGAAGCCTCCCTATCATTAAAATTCCTAGAAAAAACAAAATTCCAAGAAATGGAAGCCAAAAGTGAACAGGCCATGGAAGCAATAGAAGAATTATGAGATCAAGCCACTCTATAGAGACGTGGAAAATCAAAAGCAAAAGAAGATTGACCCATCCAAACATCCTCCCAAAAATGAACAAGTTCCCCATTGCCCACCCTTACAGAAAGATGACGAGACCAACATGTATAGATATGAGAAATTGATTTCCAAGGAGCACGACAATTACCCCTCAAAACCACCCGTGAATACCTACCATTGTCTTGAGTCCCATACTTGCTTCTAATAATCGAATGCCATAGTGAATCACTCTCAAGTGAAAATCTCCATAACCATTTGCCAAGAAGGACCATAGCCAAAATGTTACAAAAAAGCCTTGTATATCCAAGAACAATTCTTACGCCTAATGAACAAAAAGTTTTCTTGTTCAATAAAATAAGTTTGTTAAAAAAGGCATTAGAAGGGATGCCACCCACCCATATGCATACGCTAACCAAAAGGCAAAAAGAAGCTACACACTTTTAAGTTCCAAAAACTACACACACACACACACACAACAGAAGGGGGGTAAATTTCACCAATGATCCCTGTAGTTTCTTCTGAGTTTCATTTTGGTCCCTCTTATTTCAATTGCAACACATTTGCCCTTGAATTTTTAATTTTGTTTCAAATGAATCCAATTCGAAATGGCCGTTACATTTTCTATCAAAAACAACTCACATGTTATACATGTCACCAATATGAAAGGCCAGAATGGATATTTCATTCCTTAATGCATTGATATATGTTGTTATGTTATGTGATATATATATATATATCATAGCAGAGAAAGGAAATAAAATGAAGAAGGAAAAGAAGATATGAGGGAGAAGAGAGAGAAAAGGGAAGATGAGAGAAAAAGCTTCAACCACCACCACAATTCTGGCACCACAGCCAAGTGATGAAAAATTGAAGCAGCGGCACCACTACCAATTCTGGCAATGACAATCACTACCAGGTCTTGTGACGACAATCGACATCGCCACCACTATCATCTCTTCCTCCCCATTTGCCGCCAACCACCAGTTCCTCTATCAATTAAATTTGTCACCCCCTCCTTTCTTCTCTGTTTGTCACACACTGCACAGAGAAGACTGCAATTGTTCATGTACTTTACACATAATTGATGAATTTGATAATCAATTGGTCATTTGTATTTATTTTGTGAGTTCCCTTAACTAACTACAATCGTTGGTGGTGGAAGAAAGTGGGATGCTGCTGATAGGGTGGTGGGTGTGGACTGGAGGATGGGTTAAGTGGTATGTAGTGAGTTGACTGAGATTGAGAAAACTCGAGTCAGTGGACTGAATTAGAAGAAGAAAGGATGAATGACTACATTACCCGTGAAAATTGGTCACGTGTCATCATTTTCCATCTAAAATTTGGATGGCAGTTTTCAATTTGACTCATTTGACACAAAGTTAAAAATTCAAGAGCAAATGTGTTGCAATTGAAATGAGAGGGACCAAAATAAAACTCAGAAGAAACTACAGGTACCATTGGTGAAATTTGCCCAAAAAAAGAGCTACTAATTCAAAATTTCAGATACACCAAATGTATAAATAGTTTTGTTGGAAGGTTAACAAATAAGGCTCAAACAAATGATGATACATCCCATTGTATAGTTGAAAAGTAGTTGAGTGATACAGTATGAGTATGACACACATATGTGCATACAAACATATCCTCTGTGTATGCATAAATATACACACATTCAATGTGTATATGCACCTGTATAGATACGCATAAATACATAAATTAATAAACGTTTCTTGAGTAAAGAAATCACTAAAAGGCAGCAAGGGCGTGCAACTCAAGAACATGATAATTATACTAGTGCACAAAAAGCAACCTTGCCAACCGACTATTACTTTTTCATCTCTTCTAAGAAGTCTACAAAAGAAAGAAAAGAGAATAAAGATTTCCTTGAAAACCTAATTGTGACAACTCATGATTACATTTATTTAATTATGTGTTAAGTTTTAATTGTGATATGTGCCATGTGATTAATTTGTGTATACCTGTCCGAGGCAAGGCACAGAAGAAGGTTCTGAAAACCGGAGGCAGGGCTCACGGCCGCAACTCTGAGACTTCTAAACGAGCATAACATGTAGTATCACCGAGCGCTCAACTGGTGACGTCTGAGTCTTAAGGTTGGTCAAAAATGGGGTGTCTACAGAAGTCCATGAGAAATATCTGGACTTATTTGTTGATGTTTGAGTATGTAATGGATTTTGGTTATGTTAATGAAATATGAAACATTGTATATGTTTTGGATATGCGGGAACATTGTATATATTGTGTATGTTTTGGACACATAAATTTAATATAAACATTGTAAATGTTTGGGAAATGTAAATTTTGTTTTCAATATTGGATCTTGTGTATCAAGTTGATAAAAATAGATGACCATGGAATGAACCATGGTATTGGAATGGATTATCTATCGTTATTGTGTCTGGTTTACACAAAACTGTAAAACTTGATTTGAAATATCAGGGATGAAATTCTTTAAGAGGGGAGGTTATAGCAATTCCAGTTTGACCTGACCAATTTGTTATTCCGGACTCGGGTTTTATGGTTTCCAGATGTTGTTCATATCTTTTCTCCTTTATTCTTACTTGAGTTTGGCTATTGAGTCAATTGGAACAGGTTTGGAACAAGTTGGTTGCTTAGTTTTCAAATCTTTGTTGCCTAGATTTTCGCTCTTTCACTCGAGTAGTATTTCTTGTGCTCGAGCAGGCTTTGTGAACTCTCAGTATTTTTGCAGGTTTGCAAAAATACAAGAGAGTGTATTCTACGCTCGAGCGGCCATTCTCGCGCTCGAGTGTTGGTCTGTTGTCTACAAAACTACTAGATGTGTGTATTCTACACTCGAGCGTCACTTCTTGCGCTCGAGCGGAACAACTTATTATGTTTGACGCTCAAGCGTCAACTCTTGCGCTCAAGCGGACTGTGCGTATATCAGTTCGTAACAGCCACATTTCTCATCACTTTTTCATCTCTTTCTCTCTCTAAAACATTTTAAAACCCTAGATCTTTAGCTTTTTCTCTCTAGAACTCACCTTCTCTTTACTTTTTCACCAAGATCCATTGGGTTCTCTACCCGAGTACCTTTGTTAAAAAGGAAGAACGTCTCTAGAGTTCCATTTTTGTCCGAACAAGATTTGATTTTGGCGTCATTGAAGTTACCCCATTATTGCTTTGGTCTTCTAAACTCGAAGTAGGGATTTTCTACACTCTTCTATGAGTTTTAACTTAGCTATTTGTCATTAGGTAGGAAATATTGGAACTTGTTGTGATTTTGAACAAATCTAGGGTTTTTGGCCAAAATCGAAAGAGTTTTCAAATGAACATATTGGAAATGGTTATGGGAGTAGACATGAGCTTGTGTAGTATTAAAATGGTTGACTTTGGGTGTTTAGGAAGAAATTAGGAAAAATGGGGTTTTGCCCTAAATGTCTTAAATAATTATTTTGTATAGATGATGAAATTGGTATTGAAAGTGTGAAATTGAGATGTTGCCTACATGAATGGTGTAGTTGGACTTATTTAATCTCTCACTCATGGAAGTTTGGATAATTTATCTGTTGTAAAGATTGTATATCTGTTTAGAAATATCAGTTTTGGGCTATCGGTAGAGGATAGTCATGATTATTGTAGAAATTACATAAGGATTAGGCAGATTGAACGTAATCTCTTGGTCGTTATCATTGAATATGATTATGAATTATATACATTGTATATGTATGATATTTGGGAGGAGAAAGGGGATGTACTCCGTATGTGGGAGAAGAAAATGGATGGACTCCATTAAATTAAGTTAGCTTGTGTGTCCAGGGTGAAAGTCTCGAAAACTGCGCGTATACATAGGTGCCGATTCCTGCGGACGAAATTTCCGTAAAATAGAAATTGAATGTATTTGTATGATATTAATAATTATTGAAGACTTGTGGGATGTATCCTCTGTTTGATTAATTGAACGAAGTGGGTATAAATAGTGAACTGGGATAAAATAAATTAAGATGTAAGTTTGGTATAACTTAGTTTTAGAGAAGAGTTGTGAAAGATTTTGTTATTTGGCTTGAACCTATGCATTTCACTTATATCTTTGTTAAATCTCATATATTGTGCGAGATTGTTTCTATTGGGTTTTGGCTCACTCTATTTGGAAAAAACCATATTCAGGTATCGGTGATATGCATCTGCCAAGGTAGTAACTTAGAGGGCTTTAGAGTGAGAGCTTCTATTTTTGTTGTATCTATTTTGTATAGCCTAGGGCTTTAAATTGTGATTGAGCTAGACTGATTTTTGTTGTAACCAATCAGTGACTTGGAACGATGTAAGCCATTAAGGCAATAATTATATATATAACTTTCATTCCTTCTTGTATCTGTCTCTCATGTATAACAACTCTGATGAATGAAGGTATGTTAGTTTAATTATATTTCTGTTCATGAGATGGGTTTGTTGTATTTATTTTTTTGAGACGTTACACGATGAAAACTCATTTGAGATTCACTCCAGAGATAAACTAGTTAAACTTAAACACAAATGTGTTTAGGAACACCTACATAAACCATCTTATTTTCTGAATTTTTGTCTTTAGAGATTTTTTTTTAAATCATATCAAAAATATTTTTTAATCTGTCTTGTATAGATAAATTTAAAAAATAAATTTCTTTTGAAAAATTGTAAAAAGAAATTGAAAAATCCAAAATAAGCTTAAAAAAATCATTATTATTATTATTATTATTTGCTTATTTTTGTTTTCTACACTTCTCCGATCTCCTTCTCCTCTCATTCCCCCTTCTCTAATTCTCCTCTGATATTTATCTCATTAGTCCGATCATCACAACTTTACTTTTTCTACCATCGAATCTAAAACTTTAATATTTGACTTCAAATCTTTAATAGTCCAAAGGCCGTCATTGGATAACACGTTTATTTCACGATAAGCAACCACCTCAACTTTAATGTTATAACTTGACCAGCGGAGGTAAGGTTTTCAAATTCCAAGTTGAAAATTGCAGAGCAGTACACTTTTGAATGAGTTCAATGGCAACTTGAATTTGATTTTTTTTTTTTTTTGATTTCTTGATTTAATTTTTGATTTGTTGATATAAAGTTTGAACCTCTCCTTCTATAAAAATTGTTTATCTCTTTTTAAAAAAAAATTGATTTGATATTTTATCAATTTTTGTAAGGAAGATTCCCAACTTAAAAAATAATAATAAAGGTTGCGTTTGGTAGAGTTTTCTAAATATGATTTGAGAGTATAAGTTGTATTTTGAGTTTGTGAGTTTTGGAATTATGATTTGAGTATAGAAAATTTGTTTGATGAAAGAGTTTTGAATTGAGTGAGAAATTTTTGATGTGACATATGATATTTGATACAAAAACTTACAACTCATAACCAAACATACAACTCAAAATTCTACGAAAACACATAAAAAAAATTTAAAAATTCAAAATATATTTTTTTTGAATATAAAAAAATTAACATATGTCCAAAAAAAAAAATTTACTCCGATCAACCGGCTGGACAATCGATAGGACATCTGGTGGGACGACCAATTAGGCCAAATTTCAAAAAAAATTGAAAATCGCACTTTACATAAAATTTTTTGTAAAATTTTATGTTTGTTGTGAAAAACTAGTTAAGAAATTTTATCCAAACTTGATGTTACAATGTGCGGGTGGAAATAAGATTTGAAAATCCTTAAACAGAGCCCGAAAAATTGTAAGAAACAGCCCCACTCTTCTCTGGTTTTCCTCTTACCTTCCACCAATGCAAACATGTGTAATAAACTTTCAAACCCGGTTTCTTCCATGTCTGAAAGTCTACCAAGACACTCTCACAAGTTACTCTTACAAACTCACTACCCAGAAATGTACCATCCAAACCTCCAATCTCTCAATCCCAAGTTCCCATATTTACATCCCCACCAGCCCCCCTCTCTTCTCCTCAACTCTACCCTCTTCTCCCTCCCACTTTCCAACAAACCCAGGCAAGCTCGCTCTGTCTCTCTCTCTCTCTCTCTACATGTTTGTGTTTGTGTATTTATATCTATTTCTATGTATATTCAACTGTGTTTCCCTTTTCAGGAACCTCAGGATCATCCATTGTCTGTTTCCAACAACTACCCACCTAAATGTTGATGTCTCCGGCGATCTCCGAGTCATTTTCGCCGCCGGCGGCACCGGCGGCCACATCTACCCGGCGGTGGCTATTGCCGATGAGCTCAAAACCCAAAACCCTAAAACCCAAATCCTCTTTATCGGAAACCCTACCGGAATGGAGAGCACTGCCGTGCCCTCCGCAGGCTACGACTTTGCCGCCGTAGCCTCCGCCCCATTGGCCCGCCCACTCCTCTCCCCACACAACCTCATCATCTTCCCCTACCGTTTGATCAAATCCCTAATCGAAAGTTGGCGCCAATTGCGCGATTTTGATCCCCAAGTCGTTGTTGGGACTGGTGGGTATGTTTCGTTCCCAATTTGCCTCGCTGCTTCTCTCAAAGGATTGAAATTAGTAATCCAAGAGCAGAATTCAGTGCCCGGTATTGCGAATTGGGTTCTTTCTTTCTTTGCTGATCGAATTTTCGTTGCTTATGATTCAACTATTGATTGTTTTCCTAGAAAAAAGTGTGTTGTGTGTGGGAATCCAATTCGGTTATCTTTGCAGCAGTACGTGTCGAAGGCAGTGGCGAGGATGAATTTTTTTCCGGGGTTGGGGGAAATGGGGAATTCGGAGGCGAAAGTTGTGTTGGTTCTTGGTGGGTCTTTGGGTGCCAATGCTATCAATATTTCCCTCTTGAATTTGTATTATCAGATGTTGATGGAGAACATGAACTTGTTTATCATTTGGCAGACGGGCGTAGAAGCCTTTAATGAGATGGAGAGCCTTGTGAAAAACCATTCGCGTTTGATTCTTACTCCGTGAGTCCTGTTCTTTGCTCTGAATGTGGTCTGTTCTATTATGATTTTGATTATGTTATTGTCACCACTCAGTTTTGGTTATTTTAGTGAAAAATGAGAAAACCCCAAAAGGAATTGCATTCTCTTCCATTAATTGAATTATGGATAGTAAAGTCTCATTGTTAAATACATCTTATTCTTGTTACTTAATGTGGCTACCGATATCGTAACTTGTGACTTAACAAATAAAAATGATTTGAGAGAGTAATACAAAAAAAAAAAAAAAAAAATTATGTGAGCCTGAAATGTATGTTGATTGATGACAGATTTTTGTAGCTTTTTGTTGCATGAAAAAGTTAGCTTGAATTTCAGCTTGAACACATAACATTAAAAGCTTGAAGGTTAAATGTACCATATGCAGAAGGCAAGATTTGTTAGATATATAACTAACTTTGATCACCTTTGTCAGATTTTTTAGGGTTTTTTTCCCCCCTTTTATGAAGATACAGATTACATCATGTGCGCACTAGTTACTTTATTCATTTTATTAAAACCAATGCCTTGACCCCTCTATTGGTGAAATCAAATACACGAGTACTTGTCTTTAAACTAAAGTCATCCGTAATTATGCTCTGCGGTAATGGAAATGTTTGGAGGCAATTTATAGTTGATGTAAATTGCTTACCTTTTGCTTCCAACACCAAACAGTCATATCATATGGGATGCGTGTACAACTGTACTTAGAGAATTACAATTCTTCATAATAGATGCTCCTCACTTGTTTAAGTTGACCAAGAGGAGATTCATAATATAATGTTGAACAGGCTCCAAGGAATATCCCAAATGTAAGAAAAATGAAACACAGTTTTTTCCCCTGCATTTAAAAAAGGGGGAATTACATTCCAGTGGGAAGAAAAAAAAAAATAAATTTACACAAATGCACCCCCACAATTTTTCACTTGCACCCCACACGTTTTTGTAATTTTTTTTGTCTGTCCCACTGTGTTGAAATTCTCCCTTTAAATAATGTAAGGAAGGATATAGATAAGCACGCCTTTATCTTACTGTAGAAGAGTATGCATAGTGACAGGATTTTCTCAACTCAATAGAGCTATTTTTTTTTTTGCCTTTTCCTAAGTTCTACTTTCTGGACCAGAGATGAATGAGCCTCAGCTTGGTTGATCTCAAGCATTGTGGTTTGTAAAATAAGGTTGGTCTTGACACCCAGAAATCTGCTTCATTTGTCAATGTCAGCGCCGATTTTTGAACTTGAATATGTTTTATGTATCAAAATCTTGACATGAACTTTAGATGTAAACCTGGGCCTGCCTTGTGGCATGCTGACAATGAGACTTGATTGACTGGTGTAAGGAAGACCTAATAGATTGGCCATTAATGAGTAGTGCTAAGAGAAAGAAGTTAAAGATCAGTTTTGTCATGCAGGCTGTCTTCAGGCTGCTATGTCTTATGGTGGCTATGGCATTATGCTATCATGTTCGATTTTAAGTTCCTGACTCTAGGCTGTGCTCCAGATATTTCTAGTGTTTATTTCATGCCAGTTATGACTGTTTCTTATGAGTGTGGGGTCATAGTTTAAAAAAAAAAAAAAAATTGATTGTTTTAACTGAGATTTATATTGTGGCTGCAAACCGAACTTCAGAAAAGCTTATGATATTTGGGGTCTATGGGTTATATCTACTTTAATTCATATACATATGTTAGTCTTTTATTCTAATAAATTATACTCTTCCATATTTGTGGAAATGATTGTTTTCATGAAGTAAATTTGACATATTTTCCTTGAATATTGAACTTGAAAATTGTAATGAGATGGCTATCAGTGCTCTTACATTTTGTTAGCATTTCTAGTAGCAAGTTATTCTTTTGAATCTGATTATGTTCTAACATCGTGAAGGTTCTTGCATTCTATGGATTTGGCATATGCAGCTGCAGACCTTATTGTTTCAAGAGCTGGTGCAATGACTTGCTATGAAATTTTGGCCACTGGAAAACCTTCTATTCTGGTAATCAAACCATCTGTTAACACATATTTTCTTTACCATAAGCATTGAATGATAATACGACTCAAGTGTGAGATGATAACCTTCTCAATTTTGATTTTCAAAATTGAGTAGGATACTCTTTTCTATGAGCATTGTAGAATAATAATCTTCATTCAAAAAAATGAAATTGATATGTATTTGTTTCCTAGTATGCATTCTATTCCATGTGTTTGTGCACCCTGTATGGTTCAATTCGTGTGTCATCTAGTTATCTCTCCATGTGCGAGACAGGTTTGCACGTTAGTGTTAGATAGCTTAATGTATATTGTTAGAATCATTGAACAGTGCCCAACCAAAAAACTAAAAACAAAATAATGGGTGTTATTCCTGGATATATGGAGATGTCTAGTTCATTGGAACAGCCAAATCCCTCACCAATAGGATCGCACTTTGATACCTAATTGAAACTAGAATACAGAAAAATATATTTGGCAAAGAGAAAAAGTTGTATCTTGCATTCATTGTCGAATTTTATAAAGCAATGCCTGTCTGAACTTCCTAAACTCCAGTTTCTATGTTAAGAATGTGCTAGAATATGAATCCACATTCAGATTAGAAGGGAAACTCTTTCCTCTTTAATGTTTGCAACATTCAGTGTTTGTCATTGCCCTGTGATAATAAGAGAAAGCATAGATTGAATGAATTTCTGTGCTTATTCACTTTGCTATCTTTTCTTATGGAACCAAAAAATGAGGATGATTAAAAATTTTAATTTTTGGGAAGTATTATGGATGCACTCAACGCCCAAATTTAGTATAGTTCAAGTTTTCTCTGCTTTGGAAGCCTCAAGACGTGTATCACATTTGTTTGACAATTATATCTGCATATACTGGGTACTCATGATGTGCCAAAGTTCAGGAACTTTGTCAAGCACCAAACTGGTAGAAACACCAATATCTTATTATCTTGTCTTTCTTTTTCTCCCCACACATAATGATGAATATTATAATAATATCAAGGAAAAAGGAATATAAATGGTAATTAGTCAGTGTCCCTAACTGTCAGTTTTCTTACAAAATCTTCAATCACATGGATAAAAGGGTTCATGTTCAATGATGTGCAATAACTGGCCTTGGAAGTAATATCTTCACAGCAAAACGCAAGATAGACTTGAGGAAACAATAGGCTGCCATTTCAATTATTTACTTTATATAATATAGTGTAGCACAATTACCAATCTCGTGTCCAAGAACATGACTCTTATGACTTAATTTTTGTCCTTTAGAAGTAATGATCAATGTTTCTGACAATGGTGAAAGCTAGATTTTGTGAATTAAATAATTATGAAGGATAATATGTAATATCATCTTTTATTTATCAAAATATATATATATATATGTAATATCATCTTTTATATTTGAAGAGAGGGTTTGTTTTCAAAGTTTCTTCACTTTTTAAACATCATGATTATGTAATATCAGAAAGGAAAAAAGAAAGCTGTTTTGAATTGAGTCTCACATTGTAATTTTGATATTATGCATTGTCCTTTCTTTTGTGATATTTTTGCTTGAAACATGCATCGTTGCAATAAAATAGAACCAGTCACCCAGTTTTTGTTCTATGTTCAAATATATGAACATGTAAGCCCAAGAATCCGGCTAATTGCTTTTTCGTTGTCTTTACACATTTAATTTCTGTCTAATTGGGTTGATTTTGTTTCTTCATTAATCATTACTTACTATATTTTGGATTTTGTAGATACCATCACCAAATGTTGCTGAAGGACATCAATTCAAAAATGCTTCACTAATGGCAGACATAGCAGGGTCAAGGGTCATAACTGAAGATGAACTTGATTCAACAACCCTCGGAACTGCCATTGAGGGGATTTTGGGTATGTGGAATCTGTTTGTCTATATAAGGATCTAAAAGTCATGAGTTGCTTTGCCTACTTGATTTGCTCTCCAGATTCTGATATAACTTAACTCTCCCAAGTTCAATAAGCCTTGAAATGCCGTAGTCCTTTCGCACCCTACATTTTTTCAACCTTTGGCTTTCATGAAATTGTGGAAGAATGGAAAGGACGAACAGTAGGATTGTCAGAACTATCATATTTAAACTGGGTGTCCCCACATTATCCACAGACAGATTGGACAGGAAATATATCACCCTATTCTCTCTAAACCTAATCATATTGTCTTCTATGATGCCAATACTGAGATCTTTAACTTCAAAATTTTCTCACCCGTGTTTTTTTTCTGTTTCAGAGAATGAGAGTCTAATGGCGGAGATGTCTGAGAGGGCCCTGAAGGCTGCAAAGCCTAATGCCTCTGCTGAGATTGTAGAACACATTCTTTCTCTAGTCAAGTTGTCAACAGCAAAAGAAAGGTAAAAATTGAAGTTGTCAAGAATGGAATATGAATCACTTGTATTTTCCATTAGACATGAAGTCCTTGGCATTCACTTTCATTCTGCTCAAATCGAATGCCAATTTCCTCAACTTACTCAAATTGGTCAATACAAAAGCAGGCATTGGAGTGTGGTTCATGGAACTAGGTTAGGATTCTTCTTTTTCTTCCATTTTTCTATTTTTCAAATTGGTAAAATTGACTCTCTGTGGCCTCAGTTGGATAATGTACTGAAACATGAAATAGCTCATTGAATACTTTTAGTGACCTTTCCTTGATTATGATAGTGTCTTCAAATCATATTGTTTGGTGATTGTGCTTATCTTATGGATTTGGTACCCTAATTTTTTCTCTTTTTCGTCTGCTTAACTATGAGATGATTTAGTAGTATGGAAAGATGTAGCCCGCAACCATGACCCATGACCACCCCTCTGGTGCCCCCTGTGAATTTTTCACCAGTGTGCTGTATTTTTTGAGATTTCTCAAAACTTCAAAGGAGAAAAAAAACATTTTTGGTCCAGATCAGGAGAAAGAATAGAAATGAAACAGTCAAGAGGATATGGATTAGTGGAGGATCATTAATTGGAGGAAGATCATGTGGAGGTGATGAACACCCCAAAATCTCAACCTTTCTCAAAAGAAGCTTCTCCCCACTACCCAATAAGGTTTTAAACAACGGTATCAAGATATTAGTATGATCAATATATTGATTAATATCATACAATAGTGGCTGATATATATCGATAAAAAACAGTATCAAAAGTCTAAAATCCCAATACATGTCTACTGTGCTGATATTTAAAACCATGCTACCCAGTACTAGTAAACCTCCACAAAATATTGTTCCAAAATAAATCCAGAAAATACCGTGCCACAATGTATCCAGAATCATTCCTAGCACTTCAATTTCCAAGCAGAGGGCAAAAACGAGAGTAATCAACTTTGTCATTTTCATTGTGATGTAATGAAAACAAGAAAGACAAATGAAATGATCATGGTTGATTTCCAGAACCATAACTTTGAATCAACATGGGGCTCTCAATCACGAAACACCCATCATTTCAAATTTTAATGTATAAACAAAGACCAAACCATCGGGCCAAAAAAAAAAATGAATAGAGTTGCTTGTGCTGCAGATCGAAACTATACAATGGAGGAAAGCAAAATGCAGACGTTTGAAGAGTTGGAGTCTCATTACTGAGACGCTGCAGCGGTTTTACAGATGGGGCAAGTATTTTTCTGCACAAGCCACTGTTTTATGCAGTCAATATGGTAGAAGTGTCCGCATTCCAGCTTACCCATCTCATCATCTGCTTCATAGTCCTCCTGCATAGGATAAACGAAAAACATTGTAATATTCAAACAAAAGTTTAAAAAATAAAAATAACTTTGAAAAACCTTAAAGTAGATGGCAGCATTAAGAACTGTTGATGAACCAACCTGACAAATGCTGCACTTCCATTCCATTTCTGTGGGGAACTGGGAAACCGAATTGTCCAAAAGCTTGGTTTCTCTGAGGCAGTGGACAATCTCATCTTCTTTCAATCCAGTATTCACATGCCCAATTCTATCTCCAAGCTCGAGTAATTCCTGTTTGAATGAGAAAGACTGTGATACAAGCACCAGAAGACTAAAAGTATTTCATAAAGGAACACTTACCAATCACTCTTATTAACTAAATATATTTACCTACAGATCCTGACTGATAAATTTATCACTATAAATTTATTCATGAAAACAAGAGAGATTGATAAATTTATAAATAGAACTTAATGGGTAATAAAGTCCCAAAAGTGGACCTATTGGTAAATAAAACAAGGGCTGAAGACTCATTTGTTAAGAAGACTGATGTACCTCATACGACATGTTATCCACATCGAGTCTCCAGTCCCTGTATCGATCAAAACCATCAGATCTTCCTCCCATCAGCATACTACCATGGAGCATCATGATCTGCAAACCAGTAAGCACTTCTTAAATATTTCGTGAAATCTTAGCTGTAATCAACAGTTAAATAGAGACGCTTCCCATATGATTTTCCTAATTGGTTCTTCAATTACATGTAGCAAAATCTTGGTGAACTAAAATGACGTCCCACAAAAAAAGTATAAACTAAGTCCTCCCATTAGAAAAAAAAATACCCAATGCTTAAAATTTAGCTTAAAACTATGAGTTTTACAGACAAGTAATAGACCTAGTTTGATTCAACTCATGTCATAAACTTATTTTCAAGGAAATAGTAAATAGAATATAAAAAGTAAAATGTTCCAATTACATTTTTCATACACAGCAATTTGGTAATTAAGAACCAATTCCTTGACTTGCTCATGAATCTAGTGTATACAAACAGATGAATCATTCTGCTGTGTCTTGGCAGAGAATACTTTCCAAGTATCAGTTTTGGTTTTAAAAAAAATGGAACTCAGATTTTAATAGTTGCCAGAATAATTGCAAAGTTTCAAAAGATCAACCAAAATCACAAGGTTCTACTAGAAAGAATCAAGACCTAATATTTCAACTGATAGGTTGAAAGAATCCAAAAACTGATGGGTTCCAGAAGAGGTAAGTCCATTAGATGTAGCTCATCAATAAAATTTAAAAACTTTTGCATGAATCCAGAAAAATGGTCTCATCCCAATCTCTCAGAGGATTATTGCACAATGTTGAAGTTGCCTCCAATACACCACGTACCATCCCATCTAAAGGCAACATCAGCTAATTCTGACCACATCTCTCTTCTTCGGTTCCCTCCATTAAACCATAAAGCCCCATTAAATTCCAAACAAAATCATCAGCCACCCATCTAAACAAACAGATATGGAGAAACTACATTCTCAAAATCCAGCCATTCCAACACCCTATTGTCTCCAACGTCATCAAACCTCCCATTCCCAAAGCACCCAAATAATCCCACTCACAAACCTCCCTCCCTCCCTCCCTCCCTCACATTATACGAATATTTATAGTTTTCTTCTAACATGATTAAGCATGTCATATAGTCTTCCGTTGATAATCCACACTGAACTGTACGTCTTCATTTTCTTTTAATTGCCCAAATAGCTTCCAGTTTCCACTAATGTCACACTATTCCCTAGGATAATCATTTGCTGTGCTTCTCAATCACAGGCAGCCTGCTAAAGAGAATGCTACCACTTCAAAATTCTGTTACAAATGCAGCGATTTTGTAATTTATAGTCACAGCAATGCATTTATTGACAATGGGCTCTTAATCAAGTGTGGGTGTTCATTTCATTCTTCTTGCCAATGCTAAAAGAAATTGAACATATTTTCATGGCCTTCACAAGTGATACAAAAGACTCTACATCAACTTCAGTGCATGTTAAATTATCAATACAGGAGCAATATCACTCAAAGCTCCTTTCACAAATATTTTATCCAAGAAGTACACATTTTTAACCAACCCAAAACTTAATTTATGAAATGGTAAAGCCACTAACTCAAAACTCTACATCCTAAACCTTGACACCTAAAAAACCCCCATTTCTACTGTAAAACCCAAGTTTTGAATATTATTATTTTTGGATAGATTGATAATTACATTAATTTATATGGGTCACTTAGTAATATCAAGAATTAGTTATGAGGTGGCATGATAATTTCTATTACTGAGATGGGTAATTTTGTAATTTTAAGAAATTAGGTTAATAGTCCTAAAATATATATATATACATATATAAATAAATAAAAAGAGGGAAAAAGGGGGTTTCATATTTCTTTTTATCACGACTGGGCAATGCATCCTTAGGAGTAACGACAGTTGGAAATTGAAGCCACTGAATGTTCTTGCTTGCCATTGACTGAGGTATTTTTGCCCCATTGTTTACTTTATGTAAAGGGATCAATTGTTTATTATATTATGTATAGGGTCAATAGGTAGTCAGATGGTTTTGGGAAGGAAATTTGTGTGGATACCTAAATATTGAGAGTTTGGATGCATGGAGCAACGTGTATGTGCAATTGCATGGGTTATTGGAAACAGTGCAAATTATTATGTAGGTGTAGTTTTGCAATAGAATTTGGTATATTAGATAAGGTGTGTTTAACTATTAAATTAAGGGAATTAATTTGATATTTAGTATTTGAGATTAGTTTGAGAAATATTAGTTTAGCTGTTTGAGGTAAGTAACCCTCTATCACTGTTGGTATATTTTTTTTTTATTCCTATTGAATCGTTTAAAATTATAAGTATTTATTCATAGCCTCCATGTTCTCTTAAAATAAAATATGGGTCAAGTATAAAATAGCATCGAATATTATTATGAAAATTATTTGAAAATTTTATGGAACTATTATGAAAATTGTACTAAATGTTTATTTTAAAAATATCGAATATTTAGTTTAAAAGTTGTGTATTGTTAAATTTTGAACATCACTCTAGTCTGATTATGATTTAGACCCTAGACAATGGGGGTTATTTATTGGCACAGAAACTAGTTTCTTTTGTGGCTTTACCACTGGCCTATGTGTGGTTCTGGGCCTTGTCACGGGCTGAGTGATCGTAGTCATTAAGACTTGAATTTTGTGAATCAAATCATTGAACCATCTGAATATCGAACCATCGATTTGAACAATGAATTACTTTGAATTATCTTGTTGGCTTTTCATTTAAAATGTGTTGTACATTGTTTATTTTTAGCTATGAAACCATCTTACAAATAATTGTTCATTTATTGAACTGTAGAAAAATTTATATTTATTGGTTATCGATTTATTTATAAAATTTTTTATACTTGATCCAGCTGGCCTTGATGGTTGGTTATTTACTAGGCCTTCTAGCTTACCCTTATTTTTTTTCCAGATTCTGAAGAGTAGAGCTGCGCGGGATTTTTACATGTGGGAGTGCCGAGAGTAGGACTTTGAATTAAGTACTTGGATTATTGTTTTGTTAATGGATTTTATTAGTGGACTTCGTGGATAATTTCATATGATAAGAATAATCAATTTTCATGGATTTTAGCATTATGACAATTAAGGATTTAATTTGAGTATTTTATATTGTGGGTTATGTGATTGGATTCTTAGCCTTGCATGCTCACTTATATGAGTGTGCGGTGTTGTCACGGAGCTTGGAGCGTGACATCTACAAAAAATAAATATATATTAAGTAAATAAATGAATCTCCAAGAAGAGAATTTCACTTAATAAGAGTCTTCAACCCTATCACTCACTCAAATTGTGCAATTGCAAAAGACTCATTCCCAATTAAAGCAAAATAAAGTACACTTGATACATCTAGTGAGTATAAGCTGAAAATTTGAACCATATATGTTCAAAAGCTGAAATCTTTCAGAAGGCATTTTGTAGCAAAGTTTGTATGTCAAGAAAATCACAAGATGATAATCATGATTGCACAACTTTATTTTGATATTAGGCGAAAGAGATACTTAAGAGATTACATTTTAAAAATTATTCATGAAAAGAAGGGTTTTAAATTTCATGCTCCCAAGATACACACACATATATAAAGATACTCATGGACAAACCTCAGCAAGGCCTTCGGGAGAAGAATGGCGAAAATGACGGTGATACCTTGCTCCAAATACATCTAACCCTGAGTGCATCATTCCCATCGAATGGTCGTCATCCATAAAAGAGATGGGTTCAGGGTTCACCATTCTCCTTGTAGAATAAGAAGGACGCTGCCAATACAAGCAAAAGAAAGCAGTTTCAGCATATGCATATCCTTATATACACACGAGCATGATAATCTTCGAAGCCGCACTGATGAAAACAAAACAAATATGAAGCATCACTCAAATGAAAGGGGAATGCACCATCTTTTTCACAACAATCAAGACACCTGAATACATAAAAGCATGAAATACTACAATACACAGCAAGTCATTAAGAAAAATGCTAAATTAATTCAAAATAGAGAGTCAAAAAAATAATAATAATATGAGTTATAGTTAAAATTAGAAATTTTAACAATTAAATAGAAGAAATTGATATTTTATAAAATAGAAAAAAACAAATTTAGGGAATAAAAATGAAATTATCCCAATAAAGAAATAAAGCAACCAATTAATTTTGATTTATCACATGATCAATACCACCAATAATTAGTATTAAATCAAGATCAACCCACCAAAATAGCAAAATAAGCACAAACCCAAAATTAAGAACAAAAACCCAGAGAGAGAGAGGTGAAATTGAATACCTCCCTCGGATTCATCTTCTCAGAATCAACTTTGAGTCTTCCTGACACAGTCCTTCTTGACACAACACAATCAACATCAGTGGTGAAACCAATCCCAGGACCACACCAAACATCCGCTGATGATGATGGGTTTGTATGATTGGGGGGTTCTCTGTTCTGCTTCCTCTGTTTCTTCTTCCTCACCTTCTTCGCTTCCCAATTTGCCGATGTCCGAATCACCGCCGGCATCGATACCTGCGACGACGACGCGGCGGCGCATCCGAGTCCCCTCAATGGCCCAGACGGAAAGTTTTTCTTCTTCGGTGGGGCTGTGGCGGTGTCATTGGTGGTGGTGGTGAAAGTGGAAAGGAGAAGAGAAGTGATGGTGGATTTACAGCGTGTGGATTGAGTGATAGAAGGGATTTGTGGGGGGTTTGGATCTGTTTCTGAGATGGGTTGGTTTCTGGGTCTTCTGAATCGATTGTGCTCTGAAATTGTTGAGCTATCTCCAACAAAAACAGGCATGGTTGTACAAGAACAGAGAGAGAGAGAGAGAGAGAGAGAGACTTGGAATTAGGAAATTTGAAGTATGTGCTTTAGAGAGAGATTGTGGATGTAAACAGGAGAGAGAGAGAGAGAGAGAGAGAGAGAGAGAACTGAGAGAGAGACAGAGAGTCTGCTCAAACAAAAAAGAGAGAGAGACAGAGACTGAGAGAGCTGTGACTTGGTATGGAGACTGGTATGGAATTAGAGGAGAAAATGTTGAGGACTTTTTTTTTTTTTTTTTTTAATTTGTACTTTAGGATAGTATGTGTCAAGGCATCTCCCACCTAAACTCAAATATTTTACCAAATTTAAACTTAATAAAAATGGTATTTTCATTAAATTGATATTAACCGGATGAACAACCGGTTGGTTAACCGGATGAAGGACCAAATTGAAAAAATTTTAAAAAAAATTTACACTAGGCTGACCATCCAACCGTCTTCCCGTTCGATCGATTGTTTGATAAAAATTAAAGATGGTGAATTACACTAACAGTCTCTATAATTTGATACTTGTATCACTTTGGTCCATAACTTTTCAATTGTGATACATTTTATCCTGAATTTTGAGTCTTATTTCAAATAAAGACAATTGAATATACCATTAGATTTTTCAAAGGCAAAATTGCCAATTTTATAAAATATAAACTAATTTGACAAAAATAAATGTTAAAAAACTATTTTTGAATTTTTCAAAATTAAAACTACCCACTAAAAATAAAATTATGTAAAATTGATAAATCTTTTAGATATTTATTTTGTTTATCAAATTAATTCTTATTATATTTTTGGATGATTATCAAGTAATGGGTGATTATTTTTATTTTCATTAAATTAATTTCTATTTTTCCAACATTCAAATATGGTGACAACCTTGATATCATTATTAAACTAATCCATTAAATCAAATAATCCAAAATTAAAAACATTTCATATATTAAATATATCGATTACACATTAAAAGCCTAACAACGATCCATTACATGATCATCATCCATATACATAATAAAAATCAATTTTGTAAAATAAATAAATGTCTAAAAAATTTATCAATTTTACATAATTTTATCTTTGGTAGGTAGAAATAATTTTTCAAAATTTTTTAAAAAAAATCACATTCTTTTTGTCAAATTAGTTTATATTTTATCAAATTGACAATTTTGCCTTTGAAATTAAACAATGGTTTGTTCAATTGTCCTTATTTGAAACAAGATTGAAAATTCAGAGTCAGATGTGTTACAATTAAAAAATCATGGACCAAAGAGACATGACCCCCAGACTATAGGAACTGTTAGTGTAATTTGCCCAATTAAAAATTTAGTGTTGAAATGTTTTGTATCAGATTAAATTTTTAATCCAAATCTTTATTCAAATTTGATGGAAAAAAAAAAAAGTGTAAGTGTTGAAGAAACTATTGAATAAAAAAATTTATTAAATCTGAAAAAAAATTTAATAAAAAGTTTGATTTAATACCATTCAATCCAGCTTTGAATTAGAATTTTTATCAAATTTTTTCACATTCCCGATTTCTGGAAGGACGTACAAGCAGATGTCTTAGAGGTCGTCTAGACATGAATAAAAAAAGTTGTCAAACTTGTTCTTGAGTAGACATCTAAATAGACATCTGAGAGGATCCGAACCAACAGTAATAATTTAAATTTAATGAAAGATGAGAAACTTCCTTCATTTGATGATATTTTTTTATTTTTTTCTCATTTGATATGGGTTTGATGCCAATGTTTGAACATAAAAAGTGAGTCTATTTCATCAAATTTAAATTTAATGAAAAGTCTTAATAAGAATTGGAGGCGATCTAATTGTTGGAAAATTGGTTTATATATGGCTTATTTTGTGCCATCTTTGAGCCCAAAATTGAGTGAGCCTCGAACGTCTTTTGGGGCGGGTCCGAAGAGGTGAAGTGTTCCTTGTCGCGTGGCAAGTCACACGGTGAAGACGGTTCGTCAAAACCATTTATGAGTGAGTGGGAACATGACGTCGTTTTCGGGTTCGTGGAATGGACATTTAAAGTTTTTAATGTGAGTTTCCTTGTGAGGCTTGTCCCACTTTGAAATTTTAAGAGAGTTTTGTTGAGTATATAAGCTCTAGCCTACAACACTTGGGTTGGGCCCCAAGGGGCACCCCAAGTTTGTAGAAGGGAGGAGTTATGGATAAAGTGAACCTTAGCCCAAACCACCACACACGCGCTGTCCGGCCGTGCCAAGCGCGAGTGTGGGTCGGGTCAGTTCTTGTATTAATTTTTTGGACAAAATTCATTTGAATTTTTTCAAAAAATATTGCGGGAATTTAATTCAAATTTGAATTCCAATTTTTGTCTAACATTTAAGTCTCCTCTGTCCGAAATTCCTCTCAGATTCAAACTGAAAAACTGCCCAGCAGATTCGATTTTAATTGCCCAGCAGTTACAGATCTGTTACTTCCGAACAGATTCAAAACCTGGCAGCAAATCTGTTTAAATTTAAAACAGCATCTGTTCAAAATCGGTTTCACACCTGTTCACTTCTTTTGCACCTGTTCGGACAAGACCTTTTTTGGCTATAAATACCTATTGTTCCAGCAGTCTTTGGAATCCGAAAATCAGTCTGCAATTTTCATATTGCTGTCCAGAATTTTCTCCTTTGCATTTTAATCTTCATTCTAGTTTTAGAGATAAATTAAAGAGAGTATAAGAACACAAGGTTCTAGTTCGCCGTACAAATTTGTGTGGAGTGCTACTACAAGTTTGTGAAGATCATTGTATCTTGGGAGACAGACGCCACTCAACCGTAAGTACCGTAGCGGGGCAAATTTGTCTTAAGGATAGAGTGTCACACACTCGACTTGGTCTTTTGATTTTATTTGGTTTAACAAAATAAATTCTGTAAGTTTTATTTTATTTTGTTTGATTTAGTTTCAGTTTATTCTATTTACACAGAAGATTGTTCCAACATGTTTAAGACAGATTCGAATTATTCTGTTTACGAAATTTTTCGTTTGTTTCATTTTCTCTTTCTTCTTTTAAGAAAATTATATGGACAAAGTGAACCTTAGCTCAAACCACCACAAACGCGCTGTCCGGCCGTGCCGAGCGCGGGTGTGGGTCGGGTCAGTTCTTGTATTAATTTTTTGGACAAAATTCATTTGAATTTTTTCAAAAAATATTGCGGGAATTTAATTCAAATTTGAATTCCAATTTTTGTCTAACATTTAAGTCTCCTCTGTCCGAAATTCCTCTCAGATTCAAACTGAAAAACTGCCCAGCAGATTCGATTTTAATTGCCCAGCAGTTACAGATCTGTTACTCCAGAACAGATTCAAAACCTGGCAGCAAATCTGTTTGAATTTAAAACAGCATCTGTTCAAAATCTGTTTCACACCTGTTCACTTCTTTTGCACCTGTTCGGACAAGACCTTTTTTGGCTATTGTTCCAGCAGTCTTTGGAATCCGAAAATCAGTCTGCAATTTTCATATTGCTGTCCAGAATTTTCTCCTTTGCATTTTAATCTTCATTCTAGTTTTAGAGATAAATTAAAGAGAGTATAAGAACACAAGGTTCTAGTTCGCCGTACAAATTTGTGTGGAGTGCTACTACAAGTTTGTGAAGATCATTGTATCCTGGGAGATAAACGTTACTCAATCGTAAGCACCGTAGCAGGGCGAATCTGTCTTAAGGACAGAGTGTCACACACTCGACTTGGTCTTTTAATTTTTATTTGGTTCGACGAAATAAATTCTGCCTTCGTTTGGGAAGTGGGTTTGCTTTTTGGCTTTTTTGACTATATGATCCTGGACTCAAAAGCTTAGTTTGGGAAGGACTTTTGACTTGTTGGCTTTTTTGATTTTTTTGTGAGAGAAGAGTGTAATGATTATGGGGTTCGATGGGATGTTTTGTCTGTTGTGGCTCATGAGCCTATTCTGTCTTTTATGGCTCATTGAGCCAAAAAAACCCAATGAGTCTTTGCCAAACCAACCCGTATAAGTCTTTATTTTATTTTGTTTGATGTAGTTTCTATTTATTTTATTTACACAGAAGATTATTCCAACAAGATCTAATAAATTCTTAAAAAGGTTAAATTACAATAAATTCTTTTAAATTATGACTTACTTGCATTTTATTCTATCGACTTTTAAAATTCAATAGTTAATCATCTCGAAGTTTTATTTTGTTATAGTTACTTTTTTTTGTTAAAATTATGTTAGGGTAATAATACCATTATGATCTCATTTGTACTTAACATTCAAATAACATAGACAAATTGCAAATGTGATCACTATATAAGATATTATTGTCCTAAAAAATTCAATAAGTGTGTCATGTATTTCATACATGATCTAATTTCATTTAAATCTTAGTACAAATAACAAATACTGTTAAGTGTAACAGGATAATTGTGTTTTGAAGTTCAAGGGGATAAAATGCAAATGATTTATAATTTAAGAGGATTGATTATAATTTACCCTTTAAAAAATTGTACATTAAGCATAAAAGTATATAATAAAAAAATCTGTAATATTTTTAAGATTCTATATGAGTTATTTTAAAGAAGAATTTTTAAATTCATATCAATTTAAAATTTATTTGTCAAACTCACAAAAGTGTATTTTCAAAATATGATATCAAACGGAAAGTTTTGTTTTTATTGAAAAAAAAAATTATAGTAAATCAATTAGAAATCTATTATTTTGGGGTTACTTTTATCTTTTCTGGATTTTTTTTAAAATTTTCTGATTTGTCTCGTTAAATAAAATCTAGAAACTTAAATTTTTTTTAAATTTTCAAAAAAGTTTACAAAAATGAAAATAAATTAACAAAAAAAAGTTATCAAAATAGTAAATCACAAATACCCACTTAGTCAAATAATTTTTTTATGCAAAAAAGAAAGAAAAAACTTGAATTTAGAGAGGGGGGAGATTGGATAACATAAAATAGAGTTTTGGGTAAAGAATTAGATATATTTTTGAGAAGTTTCTTTTGGTGTTTGTTGGTTTTGGTGGGCCCTATTTTGTCATCTTGTTGGTTTTGTGGGCAAGGGGTGTGGCTATAAAAAAGCCTATGGCCACAAAAGTTTAAACACCGCTCTGAAACTCTGCACATTTTGCTTATTAAACTTTTGCTTTCTTTAATCAGTATATATTCTTGGAGGGTACTCTGTTGTCTGAGTCTTGAGTGTACTCTGTTA